TTTATATAAAGATATAATTTATATATTTTATATAAATAGATAAGATATTTCATCGTTATTTAAGAGATTTCTAAAATTATTTAGATTATTTATATCAGAACGAGATTTTTTTAACTATGTTTCATAAAAGTTTTATATTTATAAAAAAAATTTTGTCAGAAATTGATATCACTTTTTATATCTGTGAAAAAAATATGAGTAAAGAATTTTGAATTGCGCATAGTAATTATTTTTGAGATATTAATTATTTTTTAGATAATGCTTTAATTTGAAAATATTTATTTTACAGATCAACATAGTGTATTACAACTCCGCTGTTGCGCGTCGTATTGGTGAGTGCTAAATTATCTTTTATTTTAAATTCAAGGTGATGGATTTGTAATATTAGATGCAGCAATCAAATATTCCGCATTATTTATTCTCTTATAAATTGCTTATTATTTATATCTCTAATTATTCTTACATTAAAAGAAAAAATATAAAAAATTCAAGTTGATAAGAATGTTATAAATAAATATATCTTATGAATCCATACACAAACATACATAGCTTTAAAATAGGTAGATTAAAACGGATTAGTATATAAATATTTAACTTTGCAATACATATATTCATAATGAATTCATCATGAATTTACGTATCAAAGATTAAAAATGTCTGATAAATTATTCCTGCATTTTATACTATAAGATTCTTTAAAAATCTTCACTATAGAAAAAAAATAGCACTATTTAAAAAAGGGGGTGGATTTTAATTTTCTGAAAATTAATACAAAAGCCCACAAATTTGTGGTTCTTTTGAAGTCTAACATTGCGAGTTTTGCTTGATTATTTAATTGATTTCCCGACACGATTTCCTTGGTGAAGAACGCGCGTACATCCGCACCTATGCGAGACGCGTAAGCGGCAGTGAATAAAGCGACCGTGCCCTGTACCAATGACGTCATCCTCGCCGGATCCAAGATGGCGATCGCGTGTTCACCAGGCGAAATCGACAACGAGCAACGGCGGCGGCGGCGGCGGTTCCAGGACCGGTTTTCGAGAAGGCGGTACTACCGCCGCCGTCGCCGACGCCGTGTGCAATTTTTCGTCGTTTTACGGGCCGAAAAACCGAAGCTGCAAAACCGCGCGTCGGCTACCCTGCCTATGCAAACTGCTACGGCAAACATTCGCACTCCGGAGATCCTTAATTTATGCAAGATTCGAAGTATCCTTTCAAATACAGCTTCTTTGAATCGATATGCATCAATTTAAAGAATATTTGGAATAATTAATAAATTTTTAATTTTAATCTGCACATCGTACGAAAGTCTAAAAGACGTCTCTTAAAGATGCGCGTTAATTTCGAATTCAGAGATTTCGTTGAAATAAAAAATTTAATTGCGAAAACTTTAACCAAAAAATAAGATTTTTTTTTACAGTTGTCTGAAGATTAATTCGTAATGCTTAACTCGCGAATGTTCGTAAATTCTCTTAAACTTAAACCATTAGTACACATCTTGAAACTTTTGTTCAAGAATGATTTAATACAAGCTGAGATCCAAGATAATTCGTACTTATACATAACAAAGAGAAATACGAGGTACCTAGAACATCTTATATACGATCAAAAGCAGAATCTTATTCGGATTTGACTTCGAATGAGACTTTATGGATCGACCGTAAAATGGCGAGAAATAGTGACGTAATCGCTACACTTAAAATCCCCCTGTTGAAGAGAATGCGACGCGAGTCCTATCCCTATGAAAACGATTTTCCACGTGTCGACCTACGCGATTTTGCATCGCTATCGTAAAGTTTGCGCGCACCATATTACAAATTGTCCAGTGATCTCGATCGAAATATGGAATAGCGCAGATCTATGGAAACTAGATGATCCGGATTATACGAATAAAGATGAGAGCGCGTGCGACGAAACGATTATCTCGGCGATGGATTTACGTGAACGTATCGTTCTCATTTACCATCTTTGTGTCGTCGTAAAATTTTCTCGAGCGACTAATTCGAAAATCGATACGGCCGCCGTCGAGTGACGCGCGCGTTCCCTCGGATGCGTTGCGGTGCGTATCCCGTTCCGCGAGACACGCGCTTGTCGCATACACGCATCTTTCGCGTGAAGAGTTGTAGCTGCGGATATCAGTGGCGTAGGGCAGTGTTTTTCAAGCTTTTTTTTTTTTTTTATCAAGTATCCTATAAATCTATTTTGAGAACGTGAGCGCGTTTGAAGATGACTAAAATATCGAAATATTTTTTTATTTATGTTATTTTTTTAATATATATTTTCCTGAACATTTTGAGCTATAAAATGATTTTTAGATATGTCTACAAAGATGTTTAATATTTAAAAATGACGTGAAAAAAGTTTCCTTTCCTTTGAAACGCTCTTTTATAAAAACATGTTTTTTAATTTTTAATATTTTTTTTAGGAACTACTGATCTAATTACTATTATTTTGTTCAATATCTCTGTTTGGGATGGGAATTTAAACAAAAATTATACTTTTATCAAAACGAACATAATTTAAAACATAATTTAAGAAAAAGCTTATTCAGAAAAAAGCATCGATTAAAATGTAGTCAAACATGAAGAAGAGTGAAAAAATTGTTTAGATATGTTAACCTAGTATTGAAAGAAAATAACATAAAAATAGATAATTTTGCCACATAATTTCGCCATCGCCTTCTTAAACGTCTCATAGTTCATTTATAGACACTTTTATTTACGAAGCAAAAAATAACGATAGCGGCGAATCGTAATTTTAAACACGTACTGCGGAAGAGCTTACAATGATATCGCGATGGCAATTGAAAAAAATTCCAAGTAAAAACATATTATTTTTAATACAAGAAGACAAGGATATTGACTTGACGTGAAAATCATTGATGCCACGGTGATAGTACGCGCATTGTAAACTTTCTTCCTGCAGGCAGCTTTCAGACTACCGTATTGATATACGATGACTCTCGAGTCTTTTCACCTAGCCACAATGCGTCGCTTAAACTTTCGAACGTCGATCGATCGAATGCTTTTGCTTTTCTATAGACCTCGCTTGGATCATCGCGATTGTTGAATCACGACACTGATGCTTGATTCATTCATCAAGTATACGCCAAAGCTCGCATGCCGCGCCAGACATCGACTGCATATTTAAGAGTGCCAATGTTGATTACATAATTCATTGACCAGTTATTGTACTGATTGACA